GAATTCTTAACAGAGTTTACACACCTTGCTTACCTCTCCAGCCTCTTTTGTTCACCACTGCTCACTTGACACTCCTAGACATAAGGAGTCTGTTGGAGTTTTTCCAGTGTGTGTGAGATTTTGGACATGGTGTTCCCTTTGGTTGGAAACTCTTCCTTTTCCATTCAGCTAGGATTTACTCTTTAGGTCTAAATGTAGGTATCATTTCCTCCAGAAAACCTCCCATGGGCTTCAAGTCTGCGATAGGGGCCTTCCGACAGCATGTGATTGTCACTACCCATTGGTTGTGTTCCCTCTTAGATCGTGAACTTGTGAAAGAAGAGAGCACTTCCAGTTCCTGGTTGTGTCCCTACTAGAGCAGACATGTAGATATCTGTGCAATAAATTAATGAGTGACAGAAAAGATTTTGGGAGAGAAGGTGACTCCTTGTTATACAAAGATAAAACTAGATGTTTTCACATCAAACAATGCATTTTCCATTTCTTTTACCCTGAATTGATCTCCCATCATTAAGAAGCAGCAAGTGCTTTCTAGATGCAGCATCCTCTGCAGAGGGATGATACAGAATGATCAGAGTCAAAGTCTTGGGCTTTTGAATTCCTAACTCGACCTTTTCAAATGTATCACAGAGGAGATGTTCTTTTTCTCCTCCAAGTTTTTATTTAAATTCCAGTTAGTTAACATAACAGTGTAATATTAGTTTTGGGTGTAGAATTTAGTGATTCAACACTTACATATAATACCCGGTGCTCATCACAATTACCATCACCCATTTAACCCATGCCCTGCCCACCTCCCCTCCTGTAACCATCTGTTAGGGTTCTCTATAGTTAAAAGTTTATTTCTTGGCTTGCCCACATCCATGTTCATTTATTTTGTTTCTTAAACTCCACAAGTGAAATCATTTCTATAATTTGGCTATTATGGATAATGCTGCTATAAATTTATTACTGGGGTTCATGTTTCTCTTTGAATCAGTATTTTTGTATCCTTTAGGTAAATACCTAGTAGTGCAATTGCTAGATTGTAGGATAGTTCTATTTTTAACTTTTTGAGGAACCTCTGTACTATTTTCCACAGTGACTGCACCAGTTTGCATTCCCATGAACAATGTAAGAGGGTTCCCCTTTCTCTGCATCCTCGCCAACACCTGTTGTTTCCTGTGTTGCAGAAGAGATATTCTTGAAAGCTCCAGTTTTAAATTGTAAGGGCTGGGTTCTTGAGAGGGATTTTTAGAAGTTTCTTTTAAACATCAAGAGACAGAACCTGATAAACCTAAAATTTAGAGTTTATGCCATTAACTGTGAAATGGAAAGGGCATGTGAGTTTCCCCTCCACACAGAAATACAATCCTTTCCAAGCCTGGATTGGAAAAGACTGAGAAAAGAGGAGAGAGGGTTTAGATGCACCTTGGGCTCTGTTTTCTGTGCTCACCACCAAATAAGAGCAGGCAGAAGAGGTTTATGCTCCATTCCATTCCTAGAAATCTGAGAAGACCCAGCATTTCAAAGCCCCCTGTGCTACCAAGGGACAACTGCTGCAGAGTAGAAATGGCATTGTCACCCATGTAGGCAAAGCAGGTCTGAGATATGTTGCATTTCCTCACTACCCACAACCTTCTCACTCTCTAAGCCAAGTCTACTTGGCTCCTTGACATTTGGAGGAGATCTGAAAAGTGCCTTGGTGCCCAGCCTCCAAGAGGAGTGTGAAGGTGAGCTGAGAGCCAGGTGGCTGTGGGGATTGCTGTGGAGGGTGTTTGGGGGGGGGAGGAATGAACCCCACAGTAGAGCCTAAGGGCTGCGTGACCCAAGCCAGGAGCCAGATGGAGGCTCAGTAGTACCAGGAAGAGCTGAGATGGGAGCCACTGAGCTCCTTGCAAAATGGTCACTGTGCCTTTCTATACCAAGGCTGCAGGTGCAACCCACCAGAGAACTCAGCAGCAGATGCAATGGTGATAGAGTCCAATGGCCAAGAGCAACCAAGTAAGGCAAGAGGAATAGAAGTCCGCACTTGACCTTGGTGCCCTTCCCTGATGTCAGAATGAAATGTGAACCCCCGACTAGAACATTGTGAGGAGAAGGAAGGAGAATCCTGAGAGACTGAGTTTAAAACTTGAAATGATTGAGTTGTCTGGAATTGGCAAAATTCATTATTTTGCTGCCATTAGAAGGAATGGGGGCTGAAGAGCTAGGTTAAGAAATAAGGAAAATTGTGTATTTCCTCACCTGGGTCTATGCCTTGAGGTTATAAACAAGCCTGGTGTCCTGGTGTACAAAGTAAAGGTCAGAAAGGTGGACTTGCAAGGAGAGTTCTGGTGTCTTACAAGGACTGGCCTGATTTCCAGACAGCTGTGGCCCAGGAGGCCTGCGTAACATCAGCTGGGGATGAGATTTGCAAAGAACGATCATGTATTTGAAAACAAAAGTCTGCAGATGAGCCAAGATAAAGTCTCACATCAAACGGGGAGTTCCGATGTTGGGGCCGGTGGAGGAGGGGCACAGAGGACAGAAGAGTACTACCTGGAGCTCCCTTATTTAGTGTAGGAAAGTCCGAGGTTCCAGGAGCCTTGAGGGGTGTGCTCTGAGCTGAGCAATGTTGTGAGGGCTTGCTGTTGTTGACTAAAATTGGAGAAACTGGAACTGATTTGAGGACACAGGACTATTACATCCATTTATCTTTGTCCAGTTTGGATTCAAAACAGCGCTTTATTTATGGACCATCCCTCCCAAACTATTTTTATCTTGCAAACCTAAACACCATTAAAAACGGGACCTAAAAACACATTTGAGCGATTTCAACCCATCTGGGAGCAGACTGGGATCAACCATGATTCTAGTACTTTTGATGGTCCCTGTCAATGATGAACCACTTCTTTCTTCTAAGAAGCTTATGCCACATACCCCTGGGAATACACAAATCCTGTGAAAAAGTGTCTGATCACACCCTTCTGCCTGAAATAAATTTTGGCAGCATCTGCTTCATACTAACAGCTGAAGGGAAGTCTTTGGAGCTCCTTGATCAAATGGCACTGAAAAATGTGGGTTGTGCAGGAAACCTACAAAAGAGTAGATTTTGGGTGCCGGAACCCAAAATGAGTAGCATTAGTGTACATCTTTGAACCTGCAACAATTTTAGGTCAGTTTTCTGTATTGTAGCCTAATTTACTTGTGCTGAGCTATGCACCTAAGTAGCCAGTCATTTCAATTATTATTGGCATCTGAAACTTCCTGGTGGTTAAGACACAAGATTCTGGAGTCCTATGACCTTGTTGGAATCCTGGCCCATCATTTTCTAAGTGTGTGATCTTGGATAAGTTATTTAACTTCTTCAAGCCTTGGTTTCCTCACCCATAAACCGGGGATCATTTTCAAGGAGTTGTGGTGAGAAATTAATTAACGCATGTCAGGTACAGAAAAGGCTCAGTGAATGTTAGCTATTGCTGTTGTCATTATTTTGCTTGTCTTGTACCCAGGCAAATCTTGGCTTAGGTAAAACATGATGTATGAAAAATCCAGATTTGCAGAAAAGTTTAATGGGGGAGGTTCTTTGCATTACAACAAAATTCTTCAGTCTGTGAAAGGACAGGTAACAGGGTTGCTTTTAGACAACTTCTCAGTGTGTCTAAAATGATTTGAGTCACACACAACTACGTTTACACAATGTGTTAGGAACATAGCTAGTGTACAAAGCACAGGACATTTGTAATACAATCATTTAGGCCAGGTCTGAACCACTGTGACAGGTTAACAATAACAATCCTGGGTATTCCCTTCTGCCCTTTATAAAGGGATTAGATGACTTCCCTGTGGCTTCAAAGGGCAGAGCAGGGACTAACGGGTGGAAGATATAGTGGGGGAGTTCCAGTTCAAATAATGAAAAACTCCCTGCCAAACCACTGCTGTCTAAAACTGGAGTGGGTTGCCTCTGAGGTGGCAACTTTCCCAACACGAGTTATTCAAGTAAAAGCGAGTTATCAACTTGTTGGGGCTGTTAGAATGACTATTACATGAAACAGGGAGCTGAATTAGAGCAGTATTTCACAACCCTAAGCACATGAAATATATTGTGCAAACTAGATCAGTTCTCTACCTTGGATACTAGGAAGGGGTTGAGAAAGAAGGTAGAGATAGGCTGTTCGGGAGGAGGGTTGGAGATAAAGGAAATGAATTGGAAAAAAACAATTATTCCTCTGGTTGGGAAATACTAGGTGAAACGACCTCTAAGATTTCCTCTAATTTAAAGATTCTAGGGGTGCCTGGCTGGCTCAGGTACAGCATGAATCTGTTGATCTTAGGGTTATGAGTTCGAACTCCATGTTGGGTATAAAGATCACTTAAAATTTAAAAAATCTTTAAAAAAAGATTCTAAGACTCTCAAATTGTTTCACAGATGTTATTTTAACTATAGTCCTTGGACAACTCTCCTATTTTAGTTGAGGAAAACTGAAACCTAACACTGAAAGTGAGTGGTAAAATAGGAAAAAAGTTCAGACATCCTCTCCCTTTTAGACTTTCGATCCCATAACTTCTTTTCAGCTGGTGAGAAAGGAAGTTGCAGAACCAGAAGATAGTAGTGGCTTTAAAGCTAGAATGGATGAAATCAAGTCAACTTCAGAGATCAGTGGAAAATCAGCTCCACCACGGCCCCATATTACTAGCTTTAAAGACCCCATACACCAATATCCACGATCAAGTCCTTAGAGTACTATAGTTATACAAAGGCAGAACCAAGGCTAAACATGTGGAGCCAGTGTGCTCTTGAATGGGGCTCCTAGAAGAAGAACCTTTTTCCCCCAGTTAGCCTACTCATCTATAAAGTTGATCATTTTGCCTTTGGATCTATAGGTTTACTCAGTTGTGTGTGACCAGATACACTGCTGTTTCCACTCCCAAGGCTTCTATGCCACAAAGAATACCTCCCTTGTAGTGGACATCAGCCTAGTGGGACAAATCCAGACCTGCCTAGAAAGACAGTTAAAAGCCAATTAGAGAGCAGGACAAGCTTTGTGATACAGATTTTATTGGTTATCAAGGAAGAGTAGAAATTAGACACTAACAGGGAAGGAATGAAATCTCCTGGGTTGGGCCCAGAACCTGCTACTGATGGATGAGGCATCAGACTCTGTACACAGGGGGATTGTCAGCCAGGAAAAACAGGAAGCTATCTGGTACCATAGTCAGTCATTCTAAGAAGTAGTGGAAGAAAACATAGGGAAAAGGGGTGAAGAAAAAAATACTCTAGTTATACAAACTCTAGTACTGTCTTGGGGGAGAATCTTTCCTTTGCCCATAAGTATTAGAATGAGGAAGGACAAATGCTGTAGTCTAAGAATTGGCACAAAAGTCAGCACCACCGTGGCTTTTAGTGCCCCCACAACCTAACATACCTCCGTGAGCACATCCCTGTCTGACCCTGGATAGGGAAGCAGAGGGAGGTAAGTAGAGAAGCTGCCCCAGATTCTGTGCTCCAGGTGGAGAAGGCCTCAAGAAGGTGAAGGGATGAGCTAATCTGAGCTTCCTGGCCCCATTTCCAAGGATGTGATTAGTGGAGAGGCACCTGGGACCTGCTCCATTTCAGGAAACCCGGTTATGGGAACTGGTAGGGGACAGACTTGGCTCAGGACCCGAGAGAAACAGTTAACCCTTTCCTGTTGTATGTATGGGAAACAGCCTCTTTTAATTGTTTCCCAGGGGGAAAGAGAATTCTCAAATGGATATAGTTTTGCATCAGCCTAATAAGGTGGATCTCAAGGATAGTTTCCACTTAAGTTCCTATGGTCAATCTCTTCAGGGCCTCTGAATGCTCTAGGGGAGCCTGAGAACAAGGTAGACCTACAAGGTGTCTAGGAATCATATACACAGAGAGGGCACATTCAAAAGGGAAAGAATGCTCAAAAGTTCCTAAAATGTCAATGTTCACCTGGGGGCATTCTTTAGGTTGTTCTGGTTCCGCTTAAACCCTTGGGTTTGGGTCAGAATCAACCTGGGGCTCTTTAGATGGGGTTTCTTTTCAGAATAAACAGGATGTCCAAAGCAGACATGCAACAGTATTCCAAATCCTGAGGTGGGGGAAGGAATGCAAGCAGAATTAATACGCGACAAAATCTAAGGACTGGGGAATACTGGGCCCATGGTAACACTGATCATAAGACCCTGAACACCAGGCTGAGAATGTCCAGAGAAGCATCCAAAAGCTCCTTGGTCGACCTGGTTGACAAAAGTGACCTTAACGTTGGGCAGGTCATTTAATTTCTTTGGGCCTCAAATTTCTTCATCTATTGAAGATAATTGATAACCTCTGCAGTCCCTTCTGGCTCTGACATTCTACTGCTCTGAGGATGGGGTCTGAGTAAAAACCATTTAAATAATGTGGAGTGCAATAGTATATTAGTTACTAGACCTCAAGCAGGATGGAGCACACATTGATGGGTTAGAGAAGGGTTGGGAGCTGTGGCTCATTCAAACCTTAGTTTCTGGGAGACGAGGCCATGTTCATTGGCTCCTTTGTTTTTGGATGGTATTGGCTTTTCACAGTAATGTCAATGTTCCCATTCTACAGGACTCTGAGACAAGCAGTCACATCCAGATGGGAGATGCACTGGGTAGCTGTAGGGTGTAGAAAGTGGTGTTAAGACATTTTGTTCGTTTCAGATTCTGGCCCCACCATTTACAACTCACTGTCATACAGCCTCTTCTTGGAATCTCATCTTCCATCTTTTATTTTTATTTTTATTTTTTTAAAAATATTTTTATTTATTTCTAGGAGAGAGAGAGAGAGATAGCATGAGCAGGGGAGGGTCAGAGAGAGAGGGAGTCACAGACTGAAACAGGCTCCAGGCTCTGAGCTGGCAGTCAGCACAGAGCCCGACGCGGGGCTCGAACCCACGAACCGCGAGATCATGACCTAAGCGAAAGTTGGACGCTTAACCGACTGAGCCACTCATCTTCATCTTTTATAAAGCAATGATAACTCCTTCCATACAATGTTGAGAGGATTACTTAAGATGAATTAGAAAAAGTGAGGACCACTTAGCCAGAGCGGATGCCCACCAAATGTCAAGCCTGCATTAAACCTTGCCTAACTACAAAGGTTTACGCTATGGAAGACTTGAGGGCAGGCCGTCATATCAAAGACTCCCTTCCTTACTTCTGCCTACCTCCATTAATAGTAGGCAGCTGTGTCCTTGGATACCTCTGTCAGCCCTCCCTGACTCTAGGAGGGTGTTGGGTGTTCCCTGCATGTTTATCTCTGATGCTCACTCCAAGGCCAAGGGCTGGAAGCCAGGACGACCAACTCATCTGAAGTACTTCTACATGGGCAACTGTTCCTCCACCCTTCATTTCCAATGCCACATTCAAGGTGGGGCATTCCCTGCTGAGCCAAAACTCTCTATAGGAAATATTTGAGAAAGTCATCCTCAGTGCCTTGGTTCCTCACTGATGGCTAGTGAATACGGTGAAGGTAATAAGTATCTTATAAGATACTTGTAAGAGTGAAAAAACTTGTGTGAAGAGCCAGTGGAATCAGATAACATGCAGTCATTCAATCAATGTTAGCTCCCGTCCCCTTGACCACCCTTCTGCGCAAAAGGGAACACCTGAGAGAGAAGAGTGGTGGGGAGAGGCAGACTCCAATGATCCCCCGAATGCCAGCTCTTATCAAGTCTGAATTTTTTTTTAAATTTTGTTTTAGACTTGATTTTTAAAACCCAGCCTGGGGCTCGAAGATATGACCTCGAGATCAAGAGTTGCATGCTCCTCTGACTGAGCCAGCCAGATGTCCCAAGTCTGAGATGGTTTTATGATGAATTTTCCAGAAATAAAACCCATCTCTTTCTAGTAGGTCTTCCTGTGAGCAGCTGAGATAGGGAGGCTGGTCAATAGCGCTGACCCTGGACTGGCCAAGGCTATGATTCAGGTCTCAGCAGACATGTTCTTTGGAGCAGGCATCAAGGCTGTGTACTGGATGGGCACTCTGCCAGCTCCCCCATCTGTTCTGTCCAATCCTGGCTTCTAGGAGTTTGAGTGGAAGAATTTTCCCTGAAGGAAAGCAGCCAACACCCTGTCCCACCCTTCTCCTTGGGCAACTCTTTGCCTCATAGGAATCTCTCTCACCTGTTTCCTTTCAGCTGCCTGAGGAACTAGCTGCCAGATTACCAGTTTGGGCTCAAGCCCCTCTCAACACGTCCCTCGCTGTCCCTCCCTGAACCAGCCCGAAGTCCAGCAGCTGAAGTCTGGAGTAATAGCTTCCTTCCAGCTGGTAACACTCTATGAAAACCCCAGAACTTGTCCCATCAGCTGGAGCACAGAAAAGCCGGCCTCTGCAGTTGGCATATTTAGTGTAGAGCCAAACGTGGGGAGGAGCCTATTCCCTGGCGTGGGGGGCCTTTCCAGGTCCTGCCAGGGGCTAGCCAGGCACTTGGGAATGAAGCTGGGGACATGCTTGGGGTAGGCTGCCAGATAAAATACAACTCGCCTAGTTTTTAATTTTAGATGAATCGTTTTTTAGAATATGTAGGTCCCAAATATTGCATGGGATATATGTATCCCTAAAAAAAAATTTTTTTTTTAAATCTTAAATTCAATTTTAACCGGGTCGTCCTGTATTTTTATTTGGTAAATCTGGGAACCAGAGGTTGGCCTAGGACACTTGGGATGGCCCCCTTAGGAGGTGAGGCTGCTTGGGGGTCAAAAACCAACTTGGGGATCCCGCACCCGGCACCAGCGGCTTCTCCCGCGGCTGAGGGCTGCGCCTCGGCGGAACCGTGGGAAAGTCTCCTCCGGGAGAAGGAGAGTCGCGTCCTGGCCTCCGTCCCGCTCACCTCCAGCCTCAGAGGCGGCCCGCGGCGGCCCGCCCACCCGTCCGCCCACTGGCCCTCGCGGCTCCCGGCACCGCCCCACCGCTCCTGGCAGGCCCCCCGCGGCTAGCGGCCTGGGGGCGGCGCGGCGCGAAGTGCGCAAGCGCGGAGGGCCGGTGGGCGGGGCGCGCGCGCGCGGGCGGGAAGAACGCCGCGCGGCCGGGCGTGGGCACTGGCGGAGGTCGACGTCCCGGCGGGCAGCAGGCGGTGGGCGTCGCTGCCGCTCTCCGCGTGGCATGGAGGGCACGGCGGTGGCAGTGTGCGAGGTGATGTCGGGAAGGGAGAGAAAGCAGAGAACGACACTGTGTGAGAAGGGCTTTGTGAGGTGGCCCCGAAGTTTGGGTCTGGCGGTGCCTGAGGTAGAGAAGGAAGGTTCAGGATGCCGGGCTGTGAGGAGCGGACGAGTGAGCGCCCGGGCTCACTTGGGGGCATGGCCGCGAGGAGATGGCACTGCCCAAGGCGCAGGAGGCTGAAGTGTTTGCCCAGCGTTAGTGGGCGCCCAGGTTCAGGTCGGGAGGCCAGCCTAGGTGTCCCCCAGTGCGAGGCGACGCGCAGGAGGGAGGGATGGGCAGCCCCGGGCGGAAGTCCAGGCCAGCGGTGGTGAAGTGCGAGGGAGGGAGAGTCGTGTTCGGCCGGGCGGGCCGCGCTTGGGGAGCACTCCAGGATCGGCCGTGGCCGCTGCGTGATGACAGTGCAGAGGCCCCCCCCCCCCCCCCCCCCCGGCTCCAACCGGCGTGCGGGCCAGAGAACTTTCTAGCTCTGGAAGGTGGGACTTAACGCCCGGTGCCGCCTCGCCACGTGGCTTCACCCGTTGAGGCGCCTTCATGGCCGACATCCGATCAAGTTCTCAAGCTGCTGGTCTTGCAAGGGCTGCTAGACAGAACCGCAGGCCAGACGGGGGTCAGCCCGACGGCACCCGAGAGTTCTCCCGGCCCTCTCGCCTCCTTCTTTCTCAGCAAAGAAAGTCGGAGGGTTAGATTTTACAGACGACGGAACCTAGGCTAAAACCCAGAGCTTGTGACTCCAGGCTAGTGCTCTTTTCCCGACTCCTCCCTCACGGATAAAGAAACTGCGTGAAAACGGTAACGGGGACACAGCGACAGAGAAGGTGCGAAGGAAGGTGTTAGACTGTAGAGATGCCTGGAAACAATCCTTACAGACTCGGGTACAGGTTAGGAGATTCATTCCCAGGTTCTCTTACTGTGATCTCCTTGCAAAGGACTGGTAATTTTCCCTATGGTACCTTAGTGTGGAAGAGAGAGTCTACTTCCATAAAAAATGGAATTAAATGCAGTATATTTTCTTTTAATTTGTCTCCTCAAGATTGAATGTTTTATCTAGACATCTTGGAAACCTGTTTAATTTAAAATAGTGTGCAGCCTTCACCAAAGATGAACTTAATAAAAGTGAAAGCTAATGTCTATAAGCATTAAAAATATGTATATATAACACACACGTATGTATATGTACATATGTGTACGTGTGTGCATATATGTATATATATGCCAGGCATTGTGTTAAGCATTTTGCTCTTACTGTTCTGCTCACATTTAGCAGCAGCCATATGTGGTAGATTGTCCTCATTTTGGTAAATGAGAAAGCTGAAGAAGAGAGGAGTTAAATAACTTGCCTAAGATCACATGGCATATCAGGCATTCAAACCCAGGATTCTGCCTCCAGAGCCAGTGATCTTTAACTAGTATTTCCATCCTTAGAACTGATGATTTAATGAAAGGTAAAGATGATTCATAACCAGATGCCACTCTTATTCATAATCTTCATGTTGGCTTTTACTTGGGGAGAAAAAAAGAAACAGGAAAAACAAACTCCCACTTAATTTTTCCAAAATATTACTTCCAGATGAACCTACCCTTTGAATGAAGCAATTTATTGTCTCCACTTCCTGTCTTGTTGGGCATTGTGTTAATTTCTTATGTCTCCTTTCTTATGTCACTTTCCTAGTTATTCTTTATAGACACAAAACTTTGTTCTAAACAAATGTGAATCTGACATTTTGCAAGCAAGAATATTACTTTTTGGAAGTTAGGATTATTAATTCAGCCGTATCATATACATTTATTATTACTATGATTTCCAAAGATTTGTTTTCTTTGAATTGTACCCTTTTCAGATTTTGAAATATTTAATAATTCACTGGAAGTGTGAAACACGAGTATCAAGTGAAGCATTGCTAGAAGGACAGCTAGTGATTTCCATGGAAGCATTAAATTCTAAGCACCAGGCAGATACTCTTCATTGTATAACAACGAGTAAGTAGAGAAAGAAATAATTGATTTTCTGTTTTGTTATGATTTGTTCTGGTTAACTTAAAAATTTCAATTAGTCATACTCTTATCATGTTATCACTCCAGGGTTATTCTATAGTTAAAAAACTTAAGTAATTATGTAATAAGTATCTGGTGATAGACTTAAAGTGTGTCATACAGGAAAGGTGAGTAGAAGGACTCGTATCAGAATTTTTTTTGATTCTTGTGAATTTGTTTTTATTGGAATATAAGAGATAGGTTGGGAAAATGTCATGTGGGTTATGCTTAGCCAGGTAAATATCCATTCTAATCTTCCTGGGATAACTTCTGGGAAGAGAATTATCTTCTTTTTTCTTGGAGATGGCCTTATTTCCTGCCTCTTTAGCATCGCTAACTGGTTCCTCTTTGGGGAAAGATTACTTCTTCTTGGGAAAACTTCCACTGCCATCTGTCTCTTCAACATCACTACTAACCAGCTCCTCCTTGGAAAAAGATTTCTTTTTCTTGCATTTGGAGATAGAGGCAGATAGGTCTTCCACTCCATTGTCCTGAGGAGCCTCATGGGGCTTTTGCTTTTTCTTCCTTGTGGGTCTCTCACTTTTCTCCTCACACTCCTTTGGGGTACTACTGCTGTTCTCCGAAGACACAAGGGCAGGGACGGCCAGCTCTTTCTTCTCCTTCTTCAAGCATTTCTTCTGCTTCTCCAGCTTCCTAGCTGTCTCAGCAGCTGCTTCATCTGCTTGAACTATCGCCTCATTTATAATCCAGATTCTTTTGTAGAATCTCTCCTGTTTCTTAAAAAGGCAGCTGCTCTTCAACTTGTTCGAAGCTTCTCTCCCAATACATTTGTGGGCACCTCAGAGAAGCAATTCATTTGTGAGGCAGTAGTGCATTTGTTTGCCAGTTATTGGGATATGTGGCCTTTGTTGTTGGCAGCTGCTTGGCCAATGAAGGCGGGTGTAAAATGAGTCCATATTTTGGGGCATTACTGTTTACTTTCAAGGCTCTGGAAATCTGGTCCATTTGCAGGGCTCTGGGAGTCACTCAGACACTAGGATTGGTGGAGAGGATTATTTTGCTAGTTTAAGAATTCTCAGAAACAATTTCATTCTTGTTCTTGGTTTTTTTTTTTTTTTAATTTTTTTTAATGTTTTATTTATTTCTAGGAGAGAGAGAGAGACAGCGTGAGCAGGGGAGGGTCAGAGAGAGAGGGAATCACAGATTGAAACAGGCTCTAGGCTCTGAGCCGGCAGTCAGCACAGAGCCCGACGTGGGGCCCGAACCCACGAACCGCGAGATCATGACCCAAGCGAAAGTCGGACGCTCAACCAACTAAGCCACCCAGGCGCCCCTCTTGTTCTTGGTTTTAACCTCCTCTTTAACCAAAAAATTATATTAACTTAAATTTTATCTCTTTTTTCATGTCCAGTCTTTGATAGTTGGAAAAGAACCAAAAAATAAAGGAAAAGGAAAAGAAATAAAATGATGAATAGTGTATACTTTGATAATTCTAACTTGCAGTTAGTTTGAAATTAAACTTCTTCCATTTGGCTTTTATTCTTTTTCTTTTTTCCCCTTCCTTCCTTTCTCTCTCCTACACTTCTGAGGGAAAGCTGATGCGTTGAGTGATCCTGGAACAATTAATTTTCTTGAACCTTTGAAGTGATCCCTTTTTTTGTTTGGTTGTGTGGGTGTATATGAGAGAGAGAAGAGAATGTGTGTATCTGTCTGTAGGTTTATTGAAGAATACTTTGGAATGAAAGTCATCCTCAGTCCCAGTTGAGACTAACTGGTACTTTAGGTTCTACACAAACATTTTCTCACTGAACTGGAACACCCTGTCTTCTTTCTGGGTACCTAGCAGTAACCATCCTTGAGGAAGATATGATAGGTTGGTTTGCTGTTACTGTGCATGAACTCTACTCTAGACAGAATTCCCATCATTCATAAGAGAGTTTTGATTAGCTACATGGCTAGGGTGATGTTGGTCTTTGTATGGCTGTGTTAGTTCATGCATTTGGAGACAGACAGTAAGCCGGTCAAGGTAGCAGGGTTGATTTCACTCAAAGCAGAAGACTTGAGCCACATTAGCTTTTGGAAAGAATCCTAATTCCATAGGTATTTTGAGCCTAATGGACTTCTTCAGCCCATGTGAAGTATAGGAGGCATTTCTTTTCTCTTTATTGTGTTTATTATCTCTGATCTTTATGTAATAATTTTCATAATTTTTTGGTAGAAGGAAGGATAATACATGCTTATCATAAAACATTCCAGTATTACAGACACATATATTGTATAAGGTGAGATTTTGCAGTCATTTCATCCCTTACGATAATTACTAATTAACGTTCGATATGCATTCTGCTAGATTTTTCCATGTATATGTTCATAGCCTCTTACCAAAGGCTAGCCAGATGGTGAGTGTTCTGGGACGGAGGTATAAGAGAGATATCTCAGCATTCAGTCTTTATGTTCATTCAGGCCATTTATTTTTAATACAACTTTGGTCCTCAGCTGAAAAACCCATGCTTCTTCCTTTTCAAAGAATAACCTGTCTTCCACCCTCACCAAGGTTAAGAAGGGTCAATCTCTAGAATGCGGAGTGGAGGAGGGAATCTAAAGACCTGACTTATTCTTAAATTCATTTTTTCAATCGATTCTCCTTATTTTAGCTCCCACTCCACCCCTACTTCCAGAAGTTTCTGATTCTGCATTCCTGAGTCTTCGGGGATTTTGTTGTATCATTTGGGTTGTTTCTTGGCCTTTCTTTTTTCTGGCTTATAATTAAATTTCTCAGGTCTCCTAAATTCTTTCCCACTAGTCCTTCTGCTTTTCAGTATCTAGAATTTTATTGCAATCATATCTGTTTTTTCTCTATCCTTGTGGGTTTATTACTTTTAAAAATATCTCTTTCCTATTGTTTTATTGCAATTTCAGGAGGTAGTAAAAATAACAGGTTTGTTCAATTTGCAATCTTTACCTGAGAGTTTGGTGTGTTTGGTCTGAAGTCTCTGATGATGAAAACCCATGTATTACTTATCTAAGGCTTCTGTAACAAAGTAGCACAAACATAAAATAAATTTATCCCCCCATCCTGCCATGTATGGAAGCCAGAGGTCCAAAATCAGGGTCAAAGTAGAATTGGTTCCTTCTGGAGACTCTGAGGGTGGAATTTATTATAATGCCTCTCGCTTAGCTTCTGGTAGTTGCCAGCAAGCCCTTGGTGTTGCCTTGTTGGTGTATCATTCCAATCTCTGCCTCTACCTTCATAGGATATTCTACCCTGTGTTTATCTGTGTCTCCGTCTTCACATAGCCTTCTTCTAAGGACACCAATTGGATTCAGGTCCACCCTAACCAGTATGACCTCATCTTAACTTTATTACATTTGTGAAGACCCTATTTTCACATAAAGTCATATTCACAAGTACTGGAACTTAGTTCTTCTAAATCTCTTTTAGAGGTAAAAAATTCAACGTACAATGCAGCAGTAAATTTTATTACCTGAATGGTTTATCTAAGAGAAACTGAGAGATCCTTATATAGTTTTTCCATCAGCAATTGAATGATCTTATCTATGAGAAACTGAGAGATCATTATATAGTTTTTCCATCAGCAATTGAAGTCTTTAACATATTATTTATGTTAGTGGTTTTTTTTTTAAACTTGTGTTACAAGATGTTTATATGAGTTAGGAGGAAGTAGTTATATAGTCCTCTAAATTTGGGGACTACTGGTTAAAATCAAATGAGTTTCATTACTTTGTATTTTCTCAGAAGCTTTGATATGTCAGTATAGACTGAATCTTTAAAAGTGGGCTATAGGGGTGCCTGGGTGGCTCAAGTTGGTTAAGTGTTCAACTTTGGCTCAGGTCATGATCTTGCAGTACATGAGTTTGAGAGCCAGATATGGGTCTCTGCTGTCCGTACAGAGTCCACTTTGGATCCTCTTTTCTCTCTCTGTCCCTCCCCTGAATGCATGCATGCCCTCTCTCTCAAAAATAAATAAACCTATTTTTTTAAAAATGGGCTATAGTAGGGGTGCCTGGGTGGCTCAGTTAGTTAGGCATCTGACTTTTGATTTCAGCTATGGTCATGATCTCCTTGTTTGTGAGTTTGGCCCTGCATTGGGCTCTGTGCTGACAGCTGCTTGGGATTCTCTTTCTCTGTCCCTCCCCTGCTTGTACTCTCTCAAAATAAATAAACTTAAATTTTTTTTTAAAAAATGGGCTGTCGTGTACAGTATTTCCCAAACATATTTGACCTCAACAGCTCTTTTTTTTATATCATCTTTTGTTCTATAGAGGGAATTTTGGGAATGGTGTTGCTCTAAATATATGTGTTTTACAATTAAGTCTTTACTGTTTTCTTTGCATTTGAAGGATAGGATAGCACTCTAAAAAATTTTTTTTGATTATTTTTGAAGGAGAGAGAGAAAGAGTGTGAGTGGGGGAGGGGCAGAGAGAGGGAGAGGCAGAATCTCAAGCAGGCTCCAGGCTCTGAGCTGTCAACACAGCCCGACGTGGGGCTTGAACTTCCGAGCTATGAGATTGTGACCTGAGCTGAAGTTGGATGCTTTTTTTTTTTTTTAATGTTTTTATTTATTTCTAGGAGAGAGAGAGAGACAGTGTGAGCAGGGGAGGGTCAGAGAGAGAGAGGGAGTCACAGACTGAAACAGGCTCCAGGCTCTGAGCTGGCAGTCAGCACAGAGCCCGACGCGGGGCTCGAACCCATGAACTGCGAGATCATGACCTAAGCGAAAGTCGGACGCTTAACCGACTAAGCCACCCAGGCGCCCCTGAAGTTGGATGCTTAATGCTTAACCAACTGAGCCATCTAGACTCCCCTAGCACTCTTTTAGTTTAGTACAGAGACATTTGAAGTACACCTAAAATTTGGGGGCTGGTTGAGGTGTGGAGCAGGCAGGATAATTGCTTTCTGGGTGCATTCACCAAAAGTGACCCGTTTTCAACAATTGTTGATATGGTACTTGTTAAAACTAAAAAAGGATGTTTGAGGAGACAATGTGACGTATATAATTGAGAAACATCATGGACACACTGTGAGTTGTGTTTTTTTTCTTATTAGTGTTCAACTCCTCCCTAATAACTAGTGTAAGCCTGCCACCACTTGCCATCCCTTTCCCAGTGACCCACTCTCCTTAAGTTAGAACCAGTGTATGCTTGTGACGAATGTTAAGAAAAAAAGAAATGATTGTCTTTTATTGAATGTCCTGTGCTACTTGGGCTCAGGCCTTTTGAAATATCATTTGTCCAGAATCATTCAAAATTTGGAAATCTAAAGCACTGCTCTAATGACATTTCAAAAGAACTTTTTTGTGATGATAGAAATCTTCTTTATATCTATGCTATTCAGTACAGTGGCCATTAACCATACTAATGACACTAAGGACCACTTGAAATATGGGTAGTTTGACTGAGGAATCTTATTTTTAATTTAATTTAATTTAGCTAAATTTAAATTTAAGTAGCCACATGTATCTAGTGGCTACTGCATTTGGACAGCACACATCTAGAGAATGGTGTTGCTTCTCACTGTAGTTCATTTATTCTCAACTTTCCCCCCTGCCTGAAAAATACACTTTTCTTGAGAGACAAAGACTTTTCATTGGTTCCTGTGGCAATGATTCTTAAATTCTTAACTGTGGGTCACATCCCTTTGGGAGGAGGGGTGTTCAGTTTAGAAAAGTCTCCAAGTGGTTCTGATGTTTTCCCCTATTAGGTACCTGTTTCCTTCCTTATCCTCTTCCTCTGAAGAATTATTGCTCTAGGGGTACCTGGCTGGCTCATTTAGTAGAGCATGTGATTCTTCATCTCAAGGTTGTGAATTTGAGCCCCAAATTGGGGGTAGAGTTTACTTAAAAAATTTTAAATTATTACTGTAAATATTCTGATATTCATAGTTAGAACTTGGTGTGGAGAATTCTTAGGTGGTAGTCTAATATTTTCTACTAAAGGGGCATCTGGGTGGCTTAGTCGGTTGTGTCCAACTTTGGCTTGGGTCATGATCTCATGATTCGTGGGTTCCAACCCTGCTTCAGGGTCTGTGCTGAGAGCTTAGAGCCTAGAGTCTGCTTTGGATTCTGTGTCTCCTTCTCTCTGCCCTTGCCCTGCTCATGCTCATGCTCTGTCTCTCAAAAATAAATGAATGTTAAGATTTTTAAAGATATTTTCTACTAAAGAGTAAATTGTTTAAAAGAAAGGCCAACATTTTTAATGGCATCTTACACTGGAATATGGGTTATTGGCATATTCTGGTTACTAGCTATAGTGTTCAGTCTTCCTATAATCCTTTTCTCTCAGGAATATCTAAAGAAGCAGTCCTGGTGTTGAATACAAGTGAAAAGACTTGCCATTTGGTTCTCATCTTCAAGAAGTTATTTTGGGAAAAAAAAAAAAAAGAAGTTGTTATTTTGCCTCCAGAGAGCTGTTGTAGCCTCATAATATTTCTTTGGTGTCTCCATTTTCAGTAAACTCATTACATAGTGGTCACCTTTTTTAATGTATTGCACCTATAAGCGATGTTTTTAGGCTCCCATTAGATTCTTTAGATAAATATGTTTAATTGTTTTATTTGTGATATTTATTTGTATTCTGTTTCTTACAGTTGCTTCAGCAGGAAACGTTTATGGTGGCTTGGTTCTCAAGAAGTTCCTAAAAGGTAAAGAATTACTCTACCTTCAGGAGATAAAGTCTCTTCCTCATAGTGAATTTGGTATTTTCTGAAGAAGACAAACTGAAAGATAGGGTAGCCAGATTTAGCAAATAAAAGTACAGGATACCCACTTAAATTAGAATTTTGGATAAACAATGAGTAATTTTGTAGTGTAAGTATGTTTCATGCAGTATTTTATCCAGTAATCCTACTTTAAGGTTATCTATAAAATCGTATATATACAGCAATGAAGAAGACACTTAGGTCACTATAGCTTCTCTGAATATTCTCTATACAACCTCAGGCAAAATTATCCCAGATATAAAATAAAACTTTTGGTAAAGTATTCCCATATACCTCAAAGAGATATTGTGTGGAGAATGCTTTATTGTAAATTATTTTGGCTGTTATTAATACTGTTCCCCACATACCAAAGTTGTTATGGTTTAGGAGCTTTTGATGACCTTGTCTTTAGTTCTTCTTTCTTTAACCTTAGAATGACCTAAAGCTGAAGGACATACATTTATTTTAAAGAGACCAAAATGATCTAAGAACTGCTGTGCTTTCATATTTATCGTCTATGGTTGTGTAGTTTGTATATTATACAACAGGCTTCTCTTTTCCTCATGAGTGGTTAATTTACAAATTTTACAAAGTAATTTTTTAAGTTTATTTTTATTTATTTTTGAGAGGGAGAGAATGCGTGGTGTGCACACACAAGTAGGAGATGGGCGAGGGGGGGGGCGGTGCAGAGAGAGAGAATCCCAATCACTGACAAGTATGGAGCTCTACATGGGCCTGAACTCACAAACCCTGAGATCATGACCTGAGCTGAAATCAAGAGTCAGAAGCTTAACTGACTGAGCCACCAGACACCCCTACAAAGTAATTTTTAAAAGAAACCATCTCCAACTAAATTTGGAATGTAAATAGCTTGTGGTGGTTTAAAAAAAAACTTACATTTGTCATTACTTTGAGAAAATGTTCTATATGTTATATATGGAAATAATAAGCTATATTAGAGCAGTGTAATTTTATAAATGTTTATGAAATGTATTACCGTTGGACTTTTATTTTTATATTTATTTTACCATTGGACTTTAAAAAGTTTTGTAATTAAAAAAATTTTTGATTTATTGTTGAGACATAAAAAGAGAGCAGAGCTTGAGCTGGGGAGGGGCAGAGAGAGAGAGGGAGACCCAGAATCCAAAGCAGGCTCCAGGCTCTGAGCTGTCAGTACAGAGCCCGACATGGGGTTCAAACCCACGAACCATGAGATCATGGCCTGAGCTGAAATTGGACACTTAACCAAATGAGCCACCCAGGCACCCTACCATTGGACTTTTAAAAACAGTAATGTTTCTTAATGCGTTAATTTTTTTAATGTTTTATTTATTTTTGAGACAGTGAGCAGGGCAGGGACAGAGATGGGGGGACAGAGGATCTGAGGCAGGTTCTGTGCTGGCAGCAGGGAGCCTGATGTGGGGCTTGAACTCGTGAACCATGAGATCATGACCTGAGCCAAAGTCAAATACTCAATTGAGTGAGCCACCCAGACACCCCTAAAATTTTTTAATGTTTACTTTTGAGATAGAGAGGCAGAGTGCGAGTTGGGGAGGGGCAGAGAGAGAGGGAAACGCAAAATCTCAAGTAGGCTCTAGGCTCTGAGCTGTCAGCACAGGGCCCAATATGGGGCTTGAACTCATGAACCACGAGATCATGACCTGAGCAAAAGTCAGATGCTTAACCGATTGGGCCATCCAGGTGCTTCTCTTAGTACTTTTTAAAATGAAAGCAATTAAAAATTTAATTTAGAACCAAATCTCCAGTAACTCAATTACTGCATAAACCAAAGTACCTACTGTTACCTTGGTCATATCAAAGAAAAGAAGAAACTGTTTTTGCAACTCACAAGTATATAAAGTATATAAACAATATAGGAAATAATTTTCCCTTTTGGAACTTCTTTTTTGAATTAATTTTTATTTTTTATTATTTTTAAAATTTTTATTTAAGTTCCAGTTAACATACAGTGTAAATAATTTTAGGTGTGCAATTTAGTGATTCAGCATTTACGTACAATACCAGTTACTTATCACAAGTGCACTCCTTAATCCCCATCACCTATTTAAGCCATCCTCCCCACCCACCTCCCTTCTGGTAACCATCCATTCTCTTCTCGTTCTCTTCACTTTATTTCTTGGGTTACTTTTCTCTTTTTCTCCGCCTATGATCATTTGTTTTTGTTTCTTAAATACCACATCTGAGTGAAATCATATGGTATTTGTTTTTCTTTGACTTATTTTGCTTACCATAATACTGGCTAGCTCTATCCACATCATTGCAAATGGCAAGATTTTCATTCTTTATGAAAGAAATTTATGGCTATGATATTTCATTGTGTATGTGTGTACACCACATCCTTTTTATCCATTCATCATGGACTTTGATAGACATTTGGGCTGTTTCTGTAATTTGGGTACTGTAGATAATGCTGCTATAAACATTGGTGTGTGTGTATCCCTTTGAATTAGTATAAGTTTTTGAGGAAACTCCATACTGTTTTGCAGAGTGACAGCACCAGTTTGCTGAAGGAGTTTTTGGTTTAAGCACAGAAATTTTAAAAAGTGCTTGCTTGGTAAATTAAGGGTCATTAGGTATATTTCCTTTTGCCTTTTGAATGGTCCTGGCCCTCTGAATCTACCTTCCAGGAGCGTGTATCCTGGGTTCTTTTTTTTTATGTTTATTTATTTATTTTGAGAGAGAGAGAGAGACAGAAAGAGCACACAAGTAAGGGGAGGGGCAGAGAGAGAGAAGGAGAGGGAGAATCCCAAGCAGGCTCCACGATGTCCATGCAGAGCATGATGTGGGGCTCGGTCTCACAAACTGTGAGACCATGACCTGAGCTAAAATTAAGAATCGGATGCTTAACCACTTGAGCCACTCAGGTGCCTTTGTAGCCTGGATTCTTTTTTTTTTTTTTTTACAAATAGTTTATTGTCAAGTTGGTTTCCATGTAACACCCAGTGCTCATCCCCACAAGTGCCCCCCTTCATGCCCATCTCTCCCCCCCCCCACCCATCAGTCCTCAGTTTGTTCTCAGCATTCAAGAGTCTCTCATGGTTTGCCTCTCTCCCTTTCCCCCACCATTTCTCCCCTTCTTCTCCCCCATGGTCCTCCATTAAGTTCTCCTATTCCTCCTATACGTGCAAACATATGATATTTGTCCTTCTCTGCCTGACTTATTTCGCTCAGCATAACACCCTCAAGGTCCATCCATGTTGCTACACATGGCCAGATTTCATTGTTTCTCATTGCCATGTAGTATTCCATGGTATAGATAAACCACATCTTTTTGATCCATTCGTCAGATGATGGACACTTAGGCTCTTTCCATGTTTTAGCTATTGTGGAGAGTGCTGCTATGAACATTGGGGTCCATGTGCTCCTATG